AAAAAAAAAAAACAGTTACATAAATCCAAGATCAAGATTACGCATTTGTCATGCAGAAGTAACGAAAACAACGCTGAATATCATTGGACTGCTAAACAAAATACAATCATGCCAGTAAGATGGTGCTAGCAGTTATCAATGACTAAGCAGTACATTTTCGAAACCAAATGTGCCCAAGATAATATTTCTACAAAACAAAGTTCTGAACTAAAGCATAACTAGACATACGTTTAATACTCCCATTCAAGCATCAAAGTTTTTTATTTCAATGCAGGGTGTGTAACATTTCATTGCCAAACTTAGAAAGTGTTTATTAGGCCCACACTGAAGAAGTTAAAACAACGAGATGTTTTTATAAAATTTAACACATCGAATCTTACCTAAATAGTACTTCCCCGACTTATAGGCATTGGGATAACAAAGGAAATAAGACCTGAGACATCCGAAAATACTTAAAACTTGTACGGTTTTGTAGAATATGATTCTTTTCAGGTCTCTTCAAAACCTCCGTTATACTCAATGGTACATATTCCCTTAGAGAGATGAATAAGTACCGTGTCCTTGTGGACTGATCTTTTGGATAGCATCCTAACAAGTAACCTAGGATGCCAGGCTTGAATGCATCAATGCCAACTTACTGGTCAAAAAACTTCAACAAATCTTAACATCCAAGAAAGAATTGGAACGGGGCAATCATGGTTATATTTCTACCAACCGAACGCCAAAAGGCCGTAGAAAAAGGTAGGAATTATATACCTCACACGCTTCTGCAAGCAATCAACAATGAGCAAAAGAAGACATTTCTTTTTCCTAATATCTTACAAAATATGCTACACACACATAAAACTACATACTAACTCTCCAAATGGCCAAACATAATAAGGGAAAGGGAAATCAATTCAGGGGAAAAAAGAAAAGAAAAAAGAATGACAATCACCTGAGCTTGCATACCAGCGTGGCGTCTAACCCCAATAGCATCGTACATAACAATCAAACTAAAGCCCAAACAAACCGGAAATAAAGAATCAGCAACTCCATGGCAGATGGCCACGGAGGTCGTTAAGGCCATGCACAACGCCGAATGGGAAGAAGGCATCCCACCGGAGGCAAACATAAGCCTAAAATCCCACTTCCTCTCCACGCAAAAATTCAAGAAAACTTTAATAGATTGTGCGACCGCCCACGCACACATGCCGGAGACGAATGTCGGGTTCGCAGCCAGGGTGGCCACAATAGGGCTGATTTTAACCTTAGCCGAAGCCGTCACGCTCATGAGCGCCGCCCCAAACGCGCCGTTTTGCAGGAACTCGGACTCCTGAGGACCAACGGGCCTTTGTCCCGAGGATTTCGCAGTAAAGTCCCTGACTTTCTGAAAAAATGGGAGTAAATTGGAAAAGGGCTTTAACGGGGAGCCGTAATTGCTCCATTTTGAGCTACGATTTTGAGGGTTCGAACAATTTGCGATCACTGTTGGTCTCCAGAACCTTCTCGGGATCCTGAATCTGAAGGGCGAGAGGGATGAGCGATTGAGGGCGTTGGGTTTTGGGAAACTGACGAAGCTCAGGGCTTTGAGCGGAGAGCTTATCATAACGAGAGAGTACATGGAAATAGGGCGCAGGCGCTGGGTTTGGTCCGAGTTTCAGGCCGCATTGAAACGGATGGAGGAGGAAGAAGAATGGTGGGAGCTTCGAGAGATTATATTATGTGGAGAAGAATTAGTTTAGTTTGAGGTATAAATAGTGTGTAAAGGTTGGGCAAGAAATTTGAGGCATCTGGCATCACCTGGCGCTGAGGAATATGCCAGAAGGTGTTTGATATATCGCCACGGCTCAATCAGGAAAATCCAACATGGCTTCGGCCTTTGGGTGCTATGTTGAGGCCAGCCTAGTAAACTAAAAGTGATCGAATAGAACAATTTGGGTGGAAATTAGCCCATATAACCTTCTCAGCAAAGGAAATTGTTTAAGGAGGTGATTGTTTACCATTTGTACTGTAATTTTTTTTTACTCAAATTCAAATTTAACTCAACTTTAACTCAACCACACTATCTCCAATATTATTATATAATTAAATAACATCAAC